TTCTCTTTTTTTAAGATTTTATCTATTTATTTGAGAGAGGGAGAGAGAGTGAGCACGAGTCAGGGGGAGGGGCAGATGGAGAACCAGACTTCCCGCTGGGCGGTGAGCCTGACACAGGCCTTGATCCCAGGACCCTGAGATCATGACCTGAGCTGAAGGCAGACGCCTAACCGACTGAACCACCCAGGCGCCCCTGTTTCTTATATTCTTCATATGAGTGAAACTATATGATAATTGTCTTTCTCTAATTGACTTATTTTGCATAATAGCCTCCAGTTCCATTCATGTCAATACAAATGGACTTCATCCTTTCTGATGGCTGAGTAATATTCCAGTGTGTGTGTGTGTGTGTGTGTGTGTGTGTGTATACACACATCACATCTTCTTTTTTTAAAGATTTTATTTATTTGACAGAGAGAGACACAGCGAGAGAGGGAACACAAGCAGAGGGAGGGGGAGAGGGAGAAGCAGGCTTCCTGCTGAGCAGGGAGCCTGATGCGGGGCTCGATCCCAGGACCCTGGGATCATGACCTGAGCCGAAGGCAGACGCTTAACGACTGAGCCACCCAGGCACCCCTACACATCACATCTTCTTTATCCATTCGTCTGTTGAAGGACATATCAGCTCTTTCCACAGTTTGGCTATTGTGGACATTGCTGCTATGAACATTGGGGTGCAGGTGCCCCTTCAGATCACTAGATTTGTATCTTTGGGGTAAATACCTAGTAGTGAAGTTAACAGCATTGGTTCTTAATGAAAGGTTGAGAGAAAAAGATAAGCTTTTGAAACTTTGGAACAATGTGGTGAATAGGTGGAGGTGGTTTTTGTTGGTGGGGATAATGTGAAAGAGGTAAGCCGACCCAGAATCATATTGCTACCAGCAATTTCCGGGTTTATGGAGTCAGTGCTTGTTTTTGCTCACTATTGTATCCCTAGCAGCTAGCACAGTGCCAGGCACACAATAGACACTCAGTAAGTATTTGTTGAATAAATAAATGTTATTTTAGCTTCCTGGCAAAGGATTTGGTATCCAAGGTATTGTGATAATCACTATGTGAATTTCCTCTTAAAAGAAACAAAGATACTGCTTGTTTTTGTTTCCTTTGAGACTTTAGGCTTGAAAAGTCTCTTTGATACCTAACTCTTAGATATTCTTAGATATCTAACAGTAAGAGGAAAAGTTACCCCAAAGGGGAACATTTTTGTTTGTGCTAAGTGTGGTGGCCAGCTTTAAAACACACAAAAAGAAGTTACTAAATGAGGAAGTGTTTTTAGTCTACAGCATGAAAACAACATAGGGTAATATAACTTTTGTAAGTAGTATTTTATATACATAGTTGCCTTATTTCCTTATGTCTTTTATAATTAGAAGATAGGCCAGTGCAGTAGAAATTACAGCAAGCCATCTAGTGAGAAAGTGATTTTTGCTTATAAAGTCAGTTTTAAGTACAGTTTCTCATTGGGTATGTTGGTAAATTAACATTTTTTGGGGAGGTGGAAATTAGCTCAAAACCAGATCTTTTTAAAAAGATACCATATACAGTGTATTTAAACATAAAGAGAAAGGAAATTTCCATCTTTCAAAAAAGTTTGGTACTTTATCATAAAAAAGTATAGTAGTACCTGGAGCAATACTGTCCAATGCAGTGTACTGCAATTAAGGAAATGTTCTATGTATACCCAGTACCATATAGCAGCCACTTAGCCACAATGGCTGTTGAACACTTGAAATGTAGCCAATACAACTAACTGAATTTTTTTATCTTTTTTTTGTTTGTTTAAGACAATTATACAGTAAAATTAACTTCTTTTTGGTATATGGTTCTATGATTTCATTTTTTTAGTTTGGTGAATTTTAACACATGTATAGATTCATTTAACTACCACCACAGCCAGGACACTAATAGTCCCATCACGCCAAAAAACTCTCCTGTGCTGCCCCTTCATAGTCACTCCTTTCCCACCCCTCATCTGTTCTCCAGCTTCCTCTTTAGTTTGAATGTTTACATTTTATTTATTTTTTTAAAGATATTTATTTATTTGAGAAAGAGAGAGAACACAAGAGGGGGAAGGGCCAGAAGGAGAGGGAGAAACAGCCTCCTCGCTGGGCAAGGAGCCTGATGTGAGGCTTGATCTCAGGACCCCGGGATCATGACCTGAGCCAAAGGCAGATGCTTAACGACTGAGCCACCCAGGTACCCCTGTTTAAATTTTTTTTAAAAGATTTTATTTATTTGAGATAGAGAGAGAGAGAGTGCATGAATTGGGGGGAGAGGTAGAGGGATAGAAGCAGACTCCCTGCTGAGCAGGGAGCCCAACTCAATCCTAGGACCCTGAGATCATGACCGAGCTGAAGCAGATGCTTAACCGACTGAGCCACCCAGGTGCCCCTGAATATTAAATTTTTTAAAGTAATTTTCTTAATCAGAAAATCATTGACTTCAGTAGACTCAGATTAGAGTTTAAAAGGAAATCTCTTTAGAGATACAAAAACACAAAAGCCTTCATTTTATAGTGACTATATTTATATTGCATCTCTTTGAAAAGTATATGTCTGAACTACATGTAGTTTGGCTATACTGCAGCTTATTCATGAGAAATGTTATGTGGCATATTCCAAGATAAAATTTTTAAATTATTTTTCCACTTCTGTTTTGGATCCCTTATGCTAGTGATCTCTTCCATAACTAAGAGCAAGCTGACCAACTAGAATTATCAGTCTTAGAATCTTTTTTGTTCCATGGGTGCGTTTTAAGATTCCACCAAATATCTAGCCATTGATTACCAAGCTAAAGGAAGAAATAAAAATATTAAGTTCATTAATATAAGTGAAAGATTTCACTATATAACTACTGTAGACAGTTTAAAGTGATACTTCCTACTCAATTACTTTTTTAAGTAGACTCCACACCCAGTATGGAGCCTAATGCATGGCCTCAACTCTCGACCCTGAGATCAAGACCTGAGCTGAGATCAAGAGTCGGACACTTAACTGACTGAGCCACCCAGGCGCCCTGATTTTTAATTACTTTTAATTATATTTTGGGATTGCTTTTATTTATGGAACAAAGATTTTCACCAGGAATCCATAGTAATAATAATAATAATGCCCATATTTTTAAAAGATTTTGTCAGAGAGAGCACAAGCAGGGGGAGTGGCAGAGGGACAGGGAGAAGCAGGCTCCCCACTGAGCAAGGAGCCCAATGTGGGACTTGATCCCAGGACCCTAGGATCATGACCTGAGCAAAGGCAGACACTTAACCGACTAAGCCACCCAGGCGTCCCAATAATGCCCATATTTTAACTGCCTTTAGAACATTAATACCCTACCACCTCTCAGAATCAATGGGTCTAAAACTAAATTTATCATCTTTCTTTTCCCTCCACTCCAATCTCTTAACTTCCTCCAGTTTTCCTCCTCTATCTCTGATAATAGTTAATGGCAACAGCATCTATACATTGGCCCACACTGTAAACATGTAAGTCATTCTAATCATATCCTTTATTATCTATAATGTCCTTACTAATTCTTGCCCTCCCAAATGTATGTTGGAACTGCCCCTTTTTCTTTAGCCCCAGTGTTCATGCCTTAATTCAGATCTTCTCTGTACCACTGTGCAATCGCAATAGTCCCCTGATTTTCCATCCTGTGTCACTCCATTCTACCCCAAATGTCTCCAGAATGATTCTTCTCTAAAATGCTAATGCAATCATGTCATTTCCCTGCTTAACTTTTCCATAACCCTATTACCAATATGATAAATTGCAAACCATTATTGGCATAAAAGGGGCCCCATAATAAATCAGTTGCCTAATTCTCTCGCTTATGATCTTTATTTACTTTATCCATTTGTCTGGAATTCCTGCCTCATGCGTCCTTGCTGATTTCTGTTTGTCCTTTTACATTAAGATATTATCTAAGAAGCCTTTTCTGACCCATATTCCCAGGGATGAATACATGTCTGTTTTCTGTATTTTCTGTTCTAGTATTGCTCCCTGTGACTGTCATGCTCAGCTTTGTGTCTTGAGAATCCTTGTTCCTGGCACATATAATAGGTGCTCAATAAATATTAGTTGTTCAGTGTTTACCTTTAACTCACTGCTATAAAGAACTACTTTCTTATGTATTTACTCATATGATCCTTATAACAACCCAGCCCTAGAAGAATATAGGGCATATTTCCCCATTTTTCAGATGGTAGAATTAATGAGTGTGATTTGTTATTAAGTGGAGAATTTTCAGTGGAATGCAAATCTTCTGACTCCCAGCCCAGTAATTGTGTTTGTGTATATGTGTTTGTGTGTATGACTACATCATTAATTTTTGTAAGGTATCAGCCAAAGATATGCATGCAATCATGGTAGTAGTTAAATTATATACAGTAGCTGAGCTTTAGGAATCCAATCATTGTTTTTATCATTGAATCAGGTGAAACAATAAAGATGTTCTTATTTTGAATAAAAGTCATACTAGGCTGTAGTAACTTAGAAGGTTATAGGAATATATGCTACAAAATCCTACAATACTACCTTTAATCATAAACTAGCATGCTTATATCTTTTCTCCCAAAGTTATCTTAACTGCGCATCTTAAAATTTAAACTTCATATCACCTTTTATTTTCTGCAGCTGATCCTGTTTCCTTTATTATCTTTTGAATTGGTAGAGTGTGAAGTATTGAAATAATTTGTGAAGGGAGACAGTAAAGAAGAGTTGTTTGTTGTGAAGTTCTAGGGTGTGTTTGTCCATGTGTATGTTTCAAAAGCCTAATCAGTACTTGAGTCACATACACCTACGTATAACTTTATCATTCCTATAAGTACAGAAGACATTTTCTGTTTCTTTCCAAAGAGAATAGGAAAGATGAGAACTAATAGAGAAGCTTCACTTGATTGAATTATTTGTTCCATTCTTCTTGAATGTGGTATGATGATTGCTAATTTTTCAGTTCTAGGTCATGAAATTTAATTAAACTGACTTGAAATTTTGTTCCAAAAGGTTTCACTGGAAGAAAAAAATGCAACTATTATTTATGACCCTAAACTACACACTCCAAAGACCCTACTGGAAGCTATTGATGACATGGGCTTTGATGCTATTCTCCACAATCCTAATCCTCTCCCTGTTTTAACTGAGACTGTGTTTCTGACTGTTGCTGCTTCACTGGCTGTGCCATGGGACCATATCCAAAACACATTGCTCAAGACCAAGGGTGTGACAGACATTAAAATTTCCCCTCAGCAAAGAACTGTAGTGGTGACAGTAATCCCTTCTATAGTGAATGCCAATCAGATAATAGAGCTGCTTCCAGATCTCAGTTTAGATACCGGAACTCTGGAGAAAAAGTCAGGAACTTGTGAAGATTACAGTATGGCTCAAGCAGGTGAAGTCATGCTGAAGATGAAAGTAGAAGGGATGACCTGCCATTCATGTACCAGCACCATTGAAGGAAAAATTGGGAAGCTGCAAGGTGTTCAGCGAATTAAAGGTAATATATCTTGTGTTATTTGTTTGTTTTGTGAGCTTAATTTTCCATTTTGGTCGTTGAGGTTTTTGCTTTCTTCTTAAGCATGGGTTTTGAATCCACTGGACTAAAATAACTTACGGCTTCATTGAAGTCTGGGGTACAGTGTGCATATACCCAGGGTAAATGTGGTTAAAATTAATGATTATAATTAAAAGTTACATGGGTCTTAAATAAGCAGAAAAGGCAGCAGGAGTGGCAATTCATGGAGTTCAGGGTTTTTATTTTTTTTAAACATATATTTTTTTATTTGAGAGAGAGAGAGAGAGAGAGAAACAACATGAGAGGGGAGAGAGTCAGAGGGAGAAGCAGGCTCCCCTCTGAGCCGGGAGCCCAATGTGGGACTCGATCCCAGGACTCCGGGATCATGACCCGAGCTGAAGGCAGTCGCTCAACCAACTGAGCCACCCAGGCGCCCCGGAGTTCAGGGTTTTTAATGCAACATGCCTGGGGTCCTCTCTACCTCTAATATATTTCTATTCAGGCATGTGGAAACTTGGAGATCATAGATATAGTGGTCATATTTTTTTTAGTTTTTTTCAGTCTGTATCAATAACATTTTCTGAAAAGAACTGAAATAGCTTAAGAAAGGATACTGACAACAAAGACAGAGAAACAATTATGTATGGTATTGATTTGGTCTACAGAATGTTTTCTGAAGTGGCCTAGGAATAACTAATATAATATTTCTCTTTTTATTAACTAGTTTCCCTGGACAACCAAGAAGCTACTATTGTTTACCAACCTCATCTTATCACAGTAGAGGAAATAAAAAAGCAGATTGAAGCTCTGGGCTTTCCAGCATTCATCAAAAAACAGCCCAAGTACCTCAAGTTGGGAGCTATTGATATAGAACGCCTAAAGAATACACCAGTCAAATCCTCAGAAGGATCACAGCAAAGGAGTCCATCATATACCAGTGATTCAACAGTCACTTTCATTATAGATGGCATGCATTGTAAATCATGTGTGTTAAATATTGAAAGTGCTTTATCTACACTCCAATATGTAAGCAGCATAGTAGTTTCTTTAGAGAATAGATCTGCCATAGTAAAGTACAATGCAAGCTCAGTCACTCCAGAAACCCTGAGAAAAGCAATAGAGGCCGTGTCACCAGGGCAATATAGAGTTAGTATTATAAGTGAAGTTGAGAGTACCTCAAACTCTCCCTCCGGCTCATCTCTTCAAAATATTCCTTTGAACATTGCTAGCCATCCTCTGACTCAAGAAACTGTGATAAACATTGATGGCATGACTTGTAATTCTTGTGTTCAGTCTATTGAGGGTGTCATATCAAAAAAGGCAGGGGTAAAATCCATACGAGTATCTCTTGCAAATGGCAATGGGACTGTTGAGTATGATCCTCTACTAACCACTCCAGAAACCTTGAGAGAAGCAATAGAAGACATGGGATTTGATGCTGCCTTGTCAGGTAATTATCACTTTTTTCTCAGATTCCCCTAATATTTTTTATTTCCTATTTTGGATTCTTTGGCTTTCATCAATAATAAATGAGTAATAGGCACTGCAATTCCAGTTTTTGGAAGTAAGTCCTATAGAAGTAGTCAGCAATGTGTACAGAGATGCATAAGGATGTTTGCATAATTATCTGTAATATTTAAAAACTAGTAACATTAAATCATGATACATCCATATGATGAAATGCTATAGAGCCATAATAAATTATAGTACTAAAGATACTTAATACCACAGGAAAGTGTATGAGATATCTTGTTAAATGAAAAAATAAAAGCTAAAAATCTGTATATTCAGTATGTTCAAAATTTTATAAACACATATGTAAGGATTTATACCATGTAAATGTTATATATGAGTGAATAAAATTCCTGGCAGGACATGAACTAAAATTTTAACAGTGGTTATTATATGAGTGGTAGGATAAAGGTGATATTTATTTCCATTGTGCTTGCCTATGTGTTTTGTTTTTTGTGACAAGGATGTATGTGTACATGTATAATGGGAGAAGCAAATGCTGTTTTGACAAGAAAAAAAGGTAGAAATAAATAATAGAATTTTAACTGTAGCTTTAAATTTGGACATTCAAATGAAACTGACTCTAGAACTGCCCCAAAGTCTATTTCCTGCCAGCCCTTACCTTGAACTGAAACCAAAAATGAATATTCAATGAATTTGCCTGTGGGAACTTGTTATTTTGAACTAGAATTGAACCTAGCCTTGAATTAAACTGGAAATGCCCTAATGAAATTTCTTGCTGTAAATAAAACAGGAAAATTGTATAACTAATTTCCAGACAATGTTATTAACTTTTGCTATTCTGATTAGAATGAAAGATATCAAATAGCTCTGTTCTTTTTTTGAGCTCATTAAAACTGAAAAGCATAAAAAATTAAACACATGCTCAAATTATTGTGGTAGATAAATGTCAGTGGGAGAGGACCCTGAGACATACTAAGTATTCTTAATTTTCATACTCAGGACAAATGGCAGAAATTATAGAATTCTCACTTTTTAATGTAAAGATGTAGTTTGCATGCCATAAAATTCACTCTTATTTTTTTAATTTTTAAAAAAATTTTAGTTTTTTTATTTTTTAAGAGTTTTTATTTTTTAAATTTTTGTAAACTAGTATTATTTTATTATATGCTACCCTAAGGATGGCAAATATTAAGACGTCTGTGGGTCCATCTCCCATATCAATTGTATCTAAGTTTCCTTTTTTTTTATGTTCAGTTAGCCAACATATAGTACATCATTAGTTTTTGATGTAGTGTTCAGTGATACATTAGTTGCATATAACACCCAGTGCTCATCACCACAGGTGCCCTTCTTAATACCCATCACCCAGGTACCCCATCCCCCACCCCCTCCCTTCTGTAACCCTCAGTTTAGTTCCTGGAGTCCAGAGCTTCTCATGGTCTGTCTTCCTCTCTGATTTCTTCCCGTTCAGTTTTCCCTCCCTTCCCCTATGGTCTTCTGCGCTATTCCTTATGTTCCACATATGAGTGAAACCATATGATAATTGTTTTTCTCTGCTTGACTTATTTCACTTAGCATAACACCCTCCAGTTCCATCCATGTTGATGCAAATGGTGGGTATTCATCCTTTCTGATGGCTGAGTAATATTCCGTTGTGTATATGAACCACATCTTCATTCATTCATCCATTGAAGGGCGTCCTGTCGCCTTCCACAGTTTGGCTGTTGTGGACATTGCTGCTATGAACATTCACCCTTTTAAAGTATACAATCCAGTGGTTCTTAGTATATTCAGAGTTTTACAGCTTTCATCGCCCCCGAAAGAAACCCCATACCCATTAGCAGTCACTCCTCATTTCCCTTCCCTCTCCCTCAGCTCCTGTTATTTACTGTTCTATATTTTTCTTTATGAATTTGACAACTCTAGGTACCATATAAGTGGAATCATAGAATATTTGTCCTTTTGTGTCTAACTTCTTTCATTTAGTATATTGTTTTCAAGGCAGAAAAATGTTCATCTATGTTTGTAACATATATCAATATTTCATTCCTTTTTATTGCTAAATAGTATTCCATTGTGTGTGTGTGTGTATACATGTATATATATATATGTATATATAATTCTTTTTTAAAATCAAATCTGATATCTGGCATTATTGTAAGCAAGAACCTCACAGACTTTCAGATTGGACCCCCACATTGGAATTTATCCTATTCATTTGGGTCTGTATTTTGGCAGCTTAAAGTATGGTTCACAGATCAGCGGTGGCAGCACCCTCACTGGGAGCTTGTTAGAACTAGACTCTCTGACCCACTGCATACCCATTAAATAAAAATCTACATTTTAATTTTAATAAGCTCTCCAGGTAATTCATATGCACATTAAAGTTTGAGAAGCACTGGTAAAAATAATTTGCTGCAGTGACCTCTATAAATAAACTGTCTGAATTAAATCTATTTTAATATGTTTATTTAATGCAGTGATAATATAATAAATAATTTAAAACGGCATTTAAGAGTTTTTATATAACAGATGTGAGCAGAGTAAAAGTGACTTTCCAACAACCTCACATGGCTTCAAAGATAAACTTGAGCAATAGGAGAAATTTTGGTCAGACAAGTAAGAGTACTTGATAGTTTCTAGTACCATGTCTATCATCTACCTAGTCCTCAGGATCCATGAATGCAACATGTTCAATAACTCTTAACAATGGCTTTTACCTTAACCAACTATTGTCAAGGGCGCCAGGAATTGATTGTTCGACAAATAATTACCAGGAGCCTGTTATGTGCCCTACATCTGTTAGGTGTCATAACAAACATATTAATGGCCATGGTGAATAGGTAAAAAACCTTGCCACATTGGACGTCACCATAAAAGAATTGATAGAGTTGTGACTACAGTGACCCATATTATTGGGATAAAAGGTTGGTAGCAAATGATTGCATTCTGTATTTCTGCTAGAGATCATTCAGAGTTTAAGATGCCATCAGAATGGTGGCTACCCATTTTCTGAATATCAGTGTCAATGCTGATCCTGGCCTCACAGCCTATCACCATAACCCCTTCCCAGACAAAGAGGGACCGGCACAATTTTTCTTTATGACATACTAATCCTAGGGGGGCAGTAAAAGTTAAAGGAGATAGAGAAATATGAGGTGCTTTTTTTCCTTCATTGGTGAATTCTTTTTTTAATTTTATTTTTTAAAAATTTAATTCAGGTGTAGTTAACATACAGTGTTACATTAGTTTCAGGTGTACAATATAGTGATTCAACACTTCCGTACATTACTCGGTGCTCATAACAAGTGCACTCCTTAATCCCCATCACCTATTTAATCCATCCTTCAAACCCTTCTTCTGGTAACCATCTGTTTATCCTCTATAATTAAGAATCTCTTTGTTAATTTGTTTCTCTCTTTTTTGTCCCCTTTTTTTTTTTGATTTTATTTGTTTATTTGAGAGAGAGAGAGCACGAGAGGGAAGAGGGTCAGAGGGAGAAGCAGACTCCCTGCTGAGCAGGGAGCCCGATGTGGGACCCGATCCCAGGACTCCAGGATCATGACCTGAGCCGAAGGCAGTCGCTTAACCAACTGAGCCACCCAGGCGCCCCTGTCCCTTTGCTCATTTATTTTGTTTCTTAAATTCCACGTACGAGTAAACTCATACAGTATTTGTCTTTCTCTGACTTATTTCCCTAATTATATTCTCTAGCTCCATCCGTGTCATTGCAAATGGCAAGATTTCATTTTTGATGGCTAAATAATATTCCTGTGTGTGTATGTACACGTATATATATGCACTACACTTTCTCTATCCATCAATCGATGGACAGTAGGGCTGCTTCCATAATTTGGCTATTGTAGATAATGCTGCTATAAACATTGGGGTGCGTGTCTCCCTTTGATTTAGTGTTTTTGTATTCTTTGGGTAACTACCCAGTAGTGCGATTGCTGGATCAGAGGATAGTTCTATTTTTAACTTTTTGAAGAACCTCGATACTGTTTTCCAGAGTGGTTGCTCCCAGTTTGCATTCCCATCAACAGTGCAAGAGGGTTCCTTTTCCTCCATCTCCTTGCCAACACTTGCTGTTTCTTGAGTTTTTAATTTTAGCCATCCTGACAGGTGTGAGGTGCTATCTTATTGTAGTTTCGATTTGTATTTCCCTGATGATCACTGATGTTGAGCATCTTTTCATGTGTCTGTTGGCCATCTGTAAGTCTTTGGAGAAATATCTGTTCAGGTCTTCTGCCCATTTTTAAATTGGATTATTTGTTTTTTGTTGTTGTTGAATTTGGTAAGTTCTTTATATATTTTGGATCCTAACCCTTTATTGGATATGTCATTTGCAAATATCTCCTCCCATTCAGTAGGTCGCCTTTTAGTTTTGTTAGTTGTTTCCTTCGCTGTGCAGAAGACTTTTATTTTGATGTAGTCCCAGTAGTTTATTGTTCTCTTGTTTCCTTTGCCTCAGGTGGCATATCTAGAAAAAAGTTGCTATGACCAGTGTCAAAGAAGTTACTGCCTGGGTTCTTTTCTAGGGTTTTTGGTTTCAGGTCTCACATTTAGGTCTTCAGTCCACTTTGAATTTATTTTTGTGTATGGTGTAAGAAAGTGGTCCAGTTTCATTCTTTTGCATGTAGCTGTCCAGTTTCCCCAACAGTATTTGTTGAAGAGACTGTATTTTTTCCATTGCATATTCTTGCTGCTTATGTCAAAGATTAATTGACCAAGTAATTGTGGGTTTATTTCTAGGCTTTCTATTTTGTTCTATTGATCTATGTATCTATTTTTGTTCCAGTACCATACTATTTTGATTACTACAGCTTTGTAATATAACTTGATGCCTGGTATTGTGATACCTCCAGTTTTCTTTTTCTTTTTCAAGATTGCCTTGGCTATTCAGGGTTTTTTGTGTTTCTGTACAAATTTTAGGATTGTTCTAGTTCTGTGAGAAATGCTATTGGTATTTTGGTAGGGATTGCATTAAGTGTGTAGGTCGCTTAGATTAAATGTGTAGTATAGACATTTTAATATTATTTGTTCTTCCAATCCAAGAGCATGCAATGTCTTTCCATTTCTTTGTTTTGTCTTCAGTTTCTTTCATCAGTGTTTTATAGCTTTCAGAGTACAGGTCTTTTACCTATTTGGTTACGTTTTTTCCTAGGTATTTTATTGTTTTTGATGCAGTCGTAAATGGAATTGCTTTTTCTTTTTCTGCTGCTTCATTATTGGTGTATGCCTTGATTTTGTATCCTGTGACCCTACTGAATTCATTTATCAGTTCTAGTAGTTTTTTGGTGGACTCTAGGGTTTTCTATATAGTATCATCTCATCTGCAAACAGTGAAAGTTTTATTTCTTCCTTGCCATTTGGATGCCTTTTATTTCTTTTTGTTGTCTGATTGCTGTGACTAGGACTTTCAGTACTGTGTTGAATAAAAGTGGTGAGAACAGACATCCATGTCTTGTTCCTGATCTTAGGGGAAAAACTCTGTTTTTCACCATAGAGTATGATGTTAGCTGTGGGTTTTTCATATAAAGCATTTATAATGTTGAGGTATGTTCCCTCTAATACCTCCTTTTAGAGGGTTTTTATAATGAATGGATGTTGTAATTTGTCATGCTTTTTCTGCACCTATTGAAATGATGTTTTTTTTTCTTTTTTCTTTTTTTTTGTTGATGTGATGTATCACATTGATTGATTTACAAATACTGAACCACCCTTGCATGGGAGGTACTTTTTATTATGACCGTCAATCTCATCATTCTCTTAAAAAGATATATAATATATGAAGTTAAGTCTTCAGTAACCAATTAAGAAAAAACTCAAATTCTTTTCCTTTTTTGTAACCTTTTTATTTTTAATTTCAAACTTACAGAAAAACTGCAAGAGTAATACAAAGAATTCCTGTTTACCAGTTTCTCTCAGATTCCCTCATTTTTAATATTTTACCACATTTGCTTTATCATTCTCTATGTTGACAGACATACACACACAGATGCACACACACTAACTTTTTCTGAATCATTTGAGAGTACGTTGCAGAAATGATGTTTTTAATTTTTTAATCCATTTTCTGATTATGTATTTATTCTTCATATTACTTCAGACACCGAACCCACCAATTTTGAGGATGAGATCGGAAACCCTTTCTTGAAATTTTTGGAATCTTTTCTGATTGTTGCCTCAAGTGCAGGAAAGTCAACCTTCCTTCCTTTTGAATTCACTTAAGCATAGGTAGTGTTGCTACAGCCTATAGAAAATCTACTTGAAGAAAAGTAGTCATTTAATTCAGTGTGGCAGCTTAACACCTGCACTGCTTCTGTGGAAGATGGACGCTTTTGCTCTTCTGGTTGCCACACTCACTGGGGTAAAGAACACAGTTCTATGGATCTTTGTTGAGAGGTCATGCCAAGGTAGCTAAAAGGGACTACCTCTATGACTTATTTTAATTTAGTACTGAACTTCCAGAGTGTGAAAATTGCAGATTGTATTATGGGTTATCTCTGGTACCTCAAATCACTGAATACTAGAACAGGACATCAAGTAATTAGCAGTATAAACTTTTTTTCAGTATCTAATTTCAGAATTAAGTCTTGACAATAATTATGAGAGAATGAAGTAAGCTCCTGGATGGATTTAAATATTGTATTTTTTCTTTTTTTTTTAAGATTTATTTATTTATTTATTTGAGAGAATGAGAAAGAGAGCAAGAGAGCATAAGAAGGGGGAAGGTCAGAGGGAGAAGCAGACCCCCCAGCTGAGCAGGGAGCCCCATGCGGGACTCGATCCTGGGACTCCAGGATCATGACCCGAGCCGAAGGCAGTTGCCTAACCAACTGAGCCACCCAGGCACCCCTAAATAATGTATTTTTTCAAAGCCACAGCTATTTCCTCTGGGCAAATGAGCTTCCTTTTTGAATTCTTTAAGATAACAGTAGTATTTGGTAAATTTTACCATCTATTTCCTAAATAAGGCTCTCATAATCTGAATGAATAAGTATAGTTTTCTAAATTGCTTTTCTTAAGATCAGATACTGACTAATTTTGGAATTGGGAGTATCTAGTCAATTGTGATCAGTCTTTTGCTGTAACTCAGATGCGCTATGGTGCCATCACCTGGAAGAGTGGTGGAAATGCAGAATCTCAGGCCCCATCCTAAATGTCCTGAACCATAATCTGCATTTCAACAAAATCCCTCAGGTTGTTGTATGTGCATTAAAATTTAAGAGCTATTATACTGATTTGGGAGGTCTAGGTCATTATGAGTTAAATGGTCAGGCTTTTGTTAAAGTTTCTGCAAAAGATGACCTCTCTAGCATCCTGAAAACCAGCTCTGATGCAGGGATTCCTCTATGGGTTAGCCAAATAGACCTGAACCAGTTTTAATAAGTTAGGTGCCTGAAAATTTCCACATCACCTCTTTACCTCCTTATCTCTGCAGGAGAGTATAAAATCTTTAGCTTTGCAAGTGCATGGATGTGCTAGAGAGGATAACGTCTCCCTTCTTGGAGGTGATTAATACTGCAGTGGGTAAACTAAAACAGAATGGCAGATTTTCTGAGACTGCAGGGGAACTTCTGGATGATAGGAGATTCCCATTGTTCCACAGTGCATAAACATTCTCTGGAGAGATTTTTCAAATATCCCTTTTATTATTTTATTTTATTTTATTTTTTTTAGTGTGTGTGCCCATGCACACACGGCGGTAGGGAGGGGCAGAGGTAGAGGTGGAAGGAGAATCTTAAGCAGGCTCCAAACCCAGCACAAAGCCCGACATGGGGCTCAATCTCACGACCCTGAGATCATGACCTGAGCCAAAATCAAGAGTCAGACCCTTAACTGACTGAGCCACCCAGGTACCCCCCAAATATTCCTTTGTACAGAACAAAGATTACTGCTGACTTACTCCTTACCTTTTCTTCCATTATCCACAGACATTTTAATGTTAGAAAAATGCTATATATTAGTATTAATATTTAAAATTCAAACAATACAGAAGTGTCTATAGAGAAAATGTGTTCATCTGTCTGTCATTCTATTCCTGCCTTAACCCCATTCCTCAGAAATAGCCACCATTAATATTTTGACTTTCTTATACATGGTCTCATATATACATATACACAGTTTTTAAAATTTATATATATATATATTTTAGATTTTATTTGAGATAGAACGCATGCATGCGAGAGAGAGAGAGAGACAGAGAGCGCAAGTGGGGGGTGGGCAGAGGGAGAGGAAGAAGCAGGCTCCTCACTGAGCAGAGAGCCCGACACGGGGCTCGATCCTAGGACCCCGGGATCATGACCTGAGCCGAAGGCAGATGCTTAACTGACAGCCACCCAGGCACCCTTACACAAAAAATTTTTAAATGACATCATACTGCAATGCTGTTTTATAAATTGATTTTTGTTCTCTTTACTATATCATGAATTGGTTTAATGCCAGTATGCAAATCATTAACATGATGATAAAAATTGATTATAAAAATAAGAGCTATCCATCAACAAACTATTCTCTACCTGGGGTTTGCAATAGAGAAAATAACTAGAAGAACTTGGTATAACCAAAGTTTTGTTTATTCAGTTAGTTCAGATTTTCCAGAGAACTGGGATGGGCAGTATTGAAATTTGAAGTCACTTTCTGGAAAGTGTAAAAAAGCAGTGCCGAGAGCTCTAGGTCCATGCTGGTTTTAAAGGAATGGATTGACAGTACCTGGAGGTGTGGATTGTGATGAATGGCAAGGATGAAGCTGAAGAATACCTCAAATGAAAAGAATCTTTCCCTGTCCACCAGATACAAATGAGCCATTCGTAATAATAGCTCAGACCTCATCGGAAATGCCGCTTTTGACTTCAACTAATGAATTTTATACTAAAATGATGACACCAATTCACGACGCAGAGGCAAAGACTTCATCTAAGTGTTACATCCAGGTCACTGGTATGACTTGTGCTTCCTGTGTAGCAAACATTGAACGGAATTTAAGACGAGAAGAAGGTAAGACACCCTTGGAGCCTGTTATTTTGTGTATTGATTTGAGGACTCTGTCCTTGTTGTTCTCTTAGGTGTTTCATAACCATTTTTGTGGTTCTTGCCAAGGCCTTAGGAAGTCCTGCATATGAGTAATGTGCAGGACAACCTTGACTTTCTGACAGACAGTTTTTGTGTTTTGTTCCCAAGTTTCTATCTTGTTTACCTCACGATCACATTTTAATATCAATGAAATTTGTAGGAAAATAGCAGAAGGAAGTATATAAGGTTACTGTTCTCTATGGCCTTGGTTGCAATGCATTTTAAGAAACATACAAATTTTCTGATAAAGCTATGCTTAAAACTAATAACTACAGTCCATAAGTTTCAATATTACTGTACCTGGACCAAGAACCAGACCAAAACCAAGTTTGTTTAGAATTATATTATTCTCTTCCAACAGTTTGATCACTGATCTTTGCTTGTAGTAAAAATGTTAAAAAGTTACTCAGTATCATGTATAAATTTTAACTCTAGGTCACAAAATCTTAGAAAATTTACAGCATACTTTTTTTTTATTCAGTTATACTCAAATGTTTTACCTTATAAGTTTGTATTCATATTAATAGACTTCACACTGTGGCATAATTTGTAACCATAGAGAAATACAGTTATGTTTAATGAGACTGAAATCATAGGTTTGGTACTAGCCCCAGTGTCTTAAATAATACATGCCCGTAGTCACGAGGGCCAAATAAGTAAGATTAGTATCAGCTTATCCCCTCTATATTGTGTTATTATAACTCAAAGTATATAATAATAATAATACAGCCCTGAGGTCCATAGGCCTTATATATAAAGGCTTTATATATACCATACACAGACACACACATACATACACACATACATACATACATACTCACACACATACCTTATCTTATATATACAGGCCAGAAAATTATAACAAAGTGTATGTTATACAGAGCCATCTTCAGTTATTACTTATCTGCTTGTGTCATTTTTGCCTGTCATTTCAGTCTCCATTATATCTAATTAGAATGCAGTTGAGGCTGAAGCTTATATTACACTTTGAATGATTAAAAGGGGAAAGGAGGGAGGTTACAAAACAAATGAAAGCAAAATAAGTTTGTAAGGTTCCTGTTTAATTTTAGAACCAACTATTTTTTGGCAATTCAGAAATAGCCTTTTTCGTGAGACAAGTAATGCCTATGCCAATCATGAATCTTTTTTTAAAAAAATCCATTGTGCTCATTGATCCTTCCAGTTGCTTCCTACTCTCCCCTTTACCACCTCTTTACCCAATTAGGAAAACCGTTGGCCCAGCTGGGGTTACTATATTCACTTTTTAAAAAAAAACTAAGTAACACTGGTTGTGTCTTAGTTTTGTTTGCATTATATTTTTAAAAATGAATAGTTTTACTTATAGTTTGAAGTAAGAGTTTAAAAAGTTATCCATAATTTATGTAAGTATGAAACCTATTTTTGAGAGTCAAATTTTCCCTTCTATTTCTGTTTGGCTATAGATTACACCCAAATGAAGCAAAAAGATTTTTTCTACTTTCTCTGTACCCTACTCTTATTACTGACGCTTTCCTATGAACTGGTCCTCTGAATTATTTGGTATCCACAAAGCCCAGAATGTAAGCATTTTATATAGAAAACTTAGATTTTATAGGTACTTTGTTTTCTTATTAAAAACTCTTACTAAGTTAATGTTCTTTTCTTTTTATCCAACCACAGAGTTAACCTATGGACTGTTGATCCCCATTCCCTGTCAGGTAGCCACCGAGTGCCATAGATTACCAGAAAGAGCTGACACTTCTGCTCTGCAGAATTAATTTTCTTCCAGCAATGTCAGCAATAGCTGGCCTAGAGAAGTAGGATGGTTCTTAATAAAAGGCTTGTGCTGGAGAACAGGATGACTGTGACAAAATGAACTCCTTTGTTTTGTTAACAAGTTGGATGGCACTTTTGCCCCCTATGAATGAGAGCACTTTATATTAGTGTGTGCCAGACAGTAAAATTTGATAATTGTAAGAAATGACTATTATTTGATTATGTTATAATGTACATGTTGGTACGTTCTTGGATTCTTTGCTGTAACTGCAGTGATTTCCTTAAGTGCATGAGTTCCTTTCTGTAGGTCCCTGTCCTATTAGTTTCTACAAATGCTTTATATTTACACAATAAGTTCTCAACCTATTGCAGTTCATGGGTCTTACTTGGATCCCAATTCAAAAAAACGAACTGTGTTAGGCAAACTAATACACAATTATAAGACAATTCTGGAAATGTGAATTCTGCCTGGATATTTGGTGATATTGAAGAATTATTTTAGGTGTGATAATGGTATTATGGGTATTTTTTTTAAGAGAAGAGTCTATCTTTTAGAGATATGTATTTAAACATTTACATATGAAATGATATATTATCTGGATTTTGCTTCAAAATAATCAGGGTAGAGTGCAGGAAGTAAGAGGATAGGAATATAGATGAAACAAGATCAGCCCCAGTACTAATTTTTTTAAAAGATTTATTTATCTATTTTAGAGAAAGAGAGAAAGAATGGGCGGAAGGGGCAGAAGGAGCGGGAGAGAGAGAATCCTTAAGCGGATTCCCCGCTGAACACGGAGCCCAATGTGGGGCTCGATCTCAGGACCCCCGAGATCTTGACCTGAGCCAAAATCAAGAGTTGGCCACCTAACCTACTGAGCCACCCAGGCACCCCCAGCCCCAGTATTATTGATAATTGTTGAAACTGGGCGATGGTTGTATCAAGTTTATTGTGTTGTTCTCTCTTTTGGGTATATATAATTGAAAATTTCCATAATAAAACGTTTAAGCTAAGGCCCCCTTTCAAATAGTTTTATTTGGTTTGGGTTCAAGACTGTATAAAAATTAAGTTACATATTTCTCTAGGTTCACTTTAATCTTTTACAAATGAAAAATAAACTAATAACATTACTCTTTTTATGAGGATATTATCTCAATTGTTTTTCTTATCAATGCTTCTAGGAATATATTCTGTACTTGTGGCTCTGATGGCTGGCAAGGCAGAAGTAAGGTATAATCCTGCTGTTATACAACCCCCAATGATAGCTGAGTTCATCCGAGAGCTCGGATTTGGAGCCACTATGATAGAAAATGCTGATGAAGGAGATGGTGTTTTGGAACTTGTTGTAAGTAGTCATTTTTGTGTGATTAATAAAATTTCCAGGAAAAACTTAGGGAGGATTCAGAAAATAGTTCCAAGGATATTTAAGGGTTGGGAAAATAAGACATAAAAGGAAAATTAAGGAAACTGGAAAATAGAAGGATAAGATATGACTTAATGGTGGCCTTTAAGCATGGAATGTAAAAGATAATCATATCTATATTAAGAACCAAAAGAGAAGATTTAGGTTTGAATAAATAAATGAAAATCAACTTTTAAAATATAGTATGATTCCTACCTAGTAGGATAGAAAAAATAAATTTCAGATGCATTGAAGACTTAAATTTTATAGATGAAGCCATATAACCAGGTGTAAGGCATATTGGTTTAAAATGGTCATTTTCTCCAATTTAGCAAATTGAGTTTTATTTGTATAACTTAAACAATTAAAACAAAAAACTTAATACTGTACCAAAATTAGTTCCAGCTCAATCAAAAATCTGAATGTAAAAAAACATGAAATTACTAGGAGAAATATTTAGAGCTCTTTTCCCCAGTATTTAATTATAAAAACTTGAGACATCAGGAAAGTCAAAAGAATTGTACAGTGGACACCCTTATACCCACCACCTCGATTCTCCATTAACATTTTAGTGTATTTGTTTTACTATACATAAGTCTGTTAATCCATTGTGTAAATAATTTTAGACCCACAAAGTTGCAAAACTAGTAGAGAATTTCTATGAAGCTTCTACCCAGCTTTTCCCAATAATAACATCCAATCTATCATTTAAAAAATAATGTTAGAGTGGAAATGGCCTTTCTAACTATCATACAAAACCTATAAAAGAAAAGATTGATAAATTCATGTACATAAAAATTTCTTTTTGGAACGGGGCACCTGGGTGGCTCAGTCGTTAAGCGTCTGCCTTCGGCTTGGGTTCATGATCCCAGGGTCCTGGGATCAAGCCCCGCATTGGGCTCTCTGCTTGGCAGGAAGCCTGCTTCTCCCTCTCCCACTCCCCCTGCTTGTGTTCCCTCTCTTGCTGTCTCTCTCTCTGTCAAATAAATAAATAAAATCTTTAAAAAAAATTTTAAAAAGTTTCTTTTTGGAAGGAAAACACCATAAACAAAGTCAAAAGACAAGTAGATTGAATTTATTTATCATAGATGAAGGTTAATTTTCTTAATATATGAAGAGGTATTATCAATCAATAAGAAAAGAAACAACCCAAAAGAGAGATAGTACAGGATATGAATTGACAATTCACAGAAAATCCAAAATGTTACCACTTTAAACATAAGAAAAGATGTTAACCCTCACTTTTAATAAGAATAAAGCAAATTAAAACTACATCGAAATGCCATTTTTCACCTATTAGATTGGTAAAGATAATACACAATTTTGTTAAGACTGTGTTTGTGATCTCTTATGTATTGCTGGTCGAGAGCCAATTGATACAGGCTCTCAGCAGGGGAATTTGGCAATGTCTATCAAAAGTAAAATTGCACATGCCCTTTGCTTTAGAAGTTCCACTCACAGGAAGTTATCCAACAGACATAGTTGCATATGTATGAAATGACATACTATGTTCATTATAGTATTTATTTTATTTTATTTTTTATTATAGCAAAAGACAAGAAAAAAAACTAAATGTTAATCACTGGGGACTAGATACATAAATTATAATACGTCCATATAGTAGGATACTAAGCAGATTTTTAAAAAAAATGGGTGGGTTTTTATTTTTATTTTAATTTGTTTATTTAAAAATTTGTTTAAAAAGATTTTATTTTTATTTATTTATTTTAAAGATTTTATTTATTTGTTTGACACAGAGAAAGAAACAGCTAGAGAGGGAACATAAGCAGGGGGAGCGACAGAAGGAGAAGGAGAAGCAGGCTCCTGGCCGAGCAGGGAGCCCCATGCGGGGCTCGATCCCAGGACCCTGGGATCATGACCTGAGCTGAAGGCAGACGCTTAACTGACTGAGCCACCCAGGTGCCCCAAAAAGATTTTATTTTTAACTAATCTCTACACCTAACACGGAGCTTAAACCCACAATCCAGAGATCAAGAATCACACGCTCCACCAACTGATTCAGGCGGGCACCCTCATGGATTTTTATTTCTTTAAAGAATTTTTTTTTAAGATTTATTTATTTATTTTAGAGACAGAGAGGGAGAGAGAGAGTCAGCAGATGCCATGCTGAATGCAGAGCCTGACATGGGGCTCGAATCCACTACCTGGAGATCACAACCTGAGCCGAAGCCAAGAGTGGGATGCCCAATTGACTATGCCACCCAGACGCCCCTAGTTTTTTTTTTTTTTT